TTGGTTGTTTTCCTTGTGTTACACATCCTGTCTATGGGAACTCTAAAGACAGCAACTTTCTCTTACTGTAACATGACAAGGATCCATTTCAGAGGTGTGTTTACAGAAGGATTTGTAATAAGAATCTGAAATTCCATTGATGTCTGTCCAGACAACTCAGAGATGGTCAGACTTGTTAGTCTGTTAGAAGACTCTGTTCTTCAGCACAATTCTCCTTTAGCATGCTCAAGCAACACATTCAACACAAACACCTCTTGAAATATCATAGCATTTAACCTATTTATCCTAGAGATTTAAAAACAAACAAACAAACAAACAAACAAAAAAACCCCAAACAAAAAAAAAACCAAACAACAACAAAAGCCTGCAAAGAACAGCACATACAGACACACACAAAAAGCAAAAAAAACCTCAAAACTGCACACCAAAACCTAGCATAAAAAAATCAGGTCATCTTCTTTCTTGGTCATTAATTCCTGCATGGATTTACCTGGCAAAGGAATTCTTAAGGTGTGGTGACGTGGGGGAATCAAGCCTGGCTGTACCAAGTCTCCAGGCAGCATTTTTTTAGGAAGGCAGGTCAGAGAAAAAGGAATCAGTGATAGTACTGAAGTGCCTTGTGGCTGAACTGTTTTTCCAGAGTGACTGTGCTGTCCCTGCCTTTCTCCCTGCTCTGTAAATCAGCTACTCTCAGCAGGTGCCAAGATCAGCAACAGGCAAAGTTCATCACACAAATATTCAAGTGCTCTTCTAGTTGATCTTCACAGGCACCAGTGCAAAAATCTTCCCATCAAAGAACAACAAAGAACATGAAAATATGTCTTAGGATTTAGTCTGAGCTGTACTCGTGTGTGGGTCTGCATGTAGATACATTTTAATTCTGTCTTTTGAACATTATCAATGGGAATACTGTCAAAAAATGTGATAGTGGAGTTATTTTCAAGTAGGGGTGAGTGCAGTCCAAAGTCTGTGTTGATGAAGGATAGAAAGGAGCCTCCTGAAGCTCAAACCCTGAGCAAGAAATCAGGCCACACGCACGTGATAAATGGATCAAGATTTCTGTTAAGAAGCAGGTGCTTTATCCCCCCTAATACAGTGATTGCTCCAAAAGCAAGCACTTCCAAGGGGCAATTTGTTGCCCTCCCACTTAGAAGTGTTCTACTTTCCGTGCTAAATTTGCCCATGGTGAATTTGGTCTTTCATTAGTGTTGTTCCTTTGCTTAAATACATCTTTACCTGCCCTGGAGTTTACCGTCCTCCCTAGTGTTTTGAAAGAATACAGTGCAATTCTGCGCTGGTGAATAGACACTTACAGCAAGAAAATTGCCCAGAGGCTGTAACAAAGTGGAGGCAAATTCACCCTGGAATCTCTCACAAAGTGGTAGATTTTCTTTTCTTCCACTCTCAAATGCACTGCCTGCTTCATTGTATAGACCTGCAACAAAATTTAAGCCACAGTAAAAATTCTTATTATTAGGTGACCTTGATCCTGTTTTTTATTACAAGTTTTTCCTCCCATTCTCCCTCAGGTTTCCAAAGTTTCACCATTCAACTGTGACCAGGCACCTTCATTCCCAGAGAATCACTTGTATTTTCCCCCAGTTTTTATGCTGTTGTCTTTATTTCAGCACATGATCTTTGTCATCTGAGGAACCAACTCACTTTTCTCCTGTCACTTTCCCCAGAAGGCAAAGAATTCTGTGCATATGTAGAGTAGAGCCCCTCTTCTGTATTTAGTGTGCAACCTTAAGCAAGTTTTGACTTGAATTCAAACATCCCCTTCCTTCAAGTTGTTAAGCTCCTCTTCAGCTAAAGTGAATTATTTTAAACTGAATCCTGTGTTTATCGAAATTTGGTACCTTGAATTTGAGAAAAGCAGCAATAGCAACCAAAAAAACTCCTAGCCAAACAAAAAACCCAAATCCTTGGTTGTAAACATGGTTCTTAGAGTTTAGAAACTGTGGTGTTTCAGCCCACAGCAGGGGCAGACAGGATGCATTTATATGATTAAATGAGGGAGGGACAGGCTGACCTGACATGAAATTATTGTGGGAAATAAAATCCTATTCCCTGGCTGGTCAAAAGAATAATTTGCTAAAGGAATCCTCATATCTGCATCATTCAAAATAGGCAAAGTATCTATTTTTATTGTAGGCTCTACAAGAACTACCTGATCTGTTCTGCACAGAACATTCGTGGAACGATGTGAAAGAATTTTTAAAGGAGTTCTGTGATGCAAAAGAAGTCCTGTTTATGTAAAAAAAGGCAAATAAACAGGAACATAGAAAACTGATACCTGAAACTGTGAGACTAACGAGACAAGAAAATGTTCTGGTCTGTAAAGCCTAAAAGCATCTTACAATGCTTGTACTGTGCAGGGTTGGACAGGAGCATAAGAGATCATGAAAGCTCAGCTGTGAAACATTTCTGTGGGGTGTTGGTCTGGCTCTGGGTGTAACATTCTCCACTGACTGAGGAAAGACCAGGGTTTCACTGAACACTAATCATCATTTCTACATGTGACACCCTTAAACACTTGGAATGTCAAAACAGTTCTAATGTGACAGTAACACAGTTCCTGTGACCTTTTCTCTTTTACTGAGAAAATTCTCTGTGTGAAATGGACTTACAGTCAGTTCAAGAGGGACTCTGTCACATAGCCCAGGAAATTCTAAACAAGATTCATATTTGCAGTTTTAAAAGGAGGAAAGAGGATTTCTTTGGGCTAAATTACTGGGCTGCTTTTTTTATTCAAGCCGCTATTAAATATTGTCTTTCCAGATCTTGGCTGTAGAAGACAGCTGAAGTGAAGAAATTTTCTGCCTGAAGCCAAAACAAGCAGAAAATCACTGACAGAAATAGATGGGAGCCTTCAAATAGAAGGTGTACTCATTACTCATTTCAGAGGTGAAAAAAAGGCATTTAAAGATAAGAGAAAATGCAGGAAGATTTACCAGTACAACTTGAAATAAAAGGACCTCTAAGGTTAGTTACAGGTTTTTTGTGACCTGAGCATTAAGGTGACCTTGAAGGCTTCTTTAGATGATTCTGTGTTTCATTTTTATTCTTACACAGCGAAGTATAAACCTTTTTTTTCATAGGAATACAATGAGGATATTTATTGGGTCTACTCTGCAGCTCTTGGGAATGACGCAGAAAAATCACTTAGTTAAAAATGAAATTTTCAGTTACTGCATATGCGAGGATATCATCGTGAGGATTCTTTCCTGGCACGAGCCTTGCAATTCCAGCAGGATGTGGCAGCATGAGGACCATTTGCATATGGCCTCCCTTCATTTTAATATGTTTTTTGACTTGTACTAGAGATCATGTCCAAAGCCTGCTGCAATCCGACTTTAAATCAGGCCATACTTTTCTCTCACAATAAGTGAAACAATTGCATTTATGGGTTTGGGGAGTTACTTTTGCATCATGGTGCTTATCACCAAGTGCCGTGGTTGCACTGGGTGGTGACAGTAGCAGGAATCCCCCTTTTCCTTGTCTCTTTGCAGCCTCACCCCTCAGCTCTCTCTCCTGTTCTGGATTTGGGTATGTAGAGATAAATAGGTACCATATTCCCTTGAGTCCCATCCAGCTCAGGTAGGAGAGATTGGACTCTGAAGTGGGCTCTAACACCCCATTTTTAGTCTGGGTCATGGGTAGGTTACTATAGGAGCGAAATGAAGGATGACACTCCTGAGCAATGTGGCTACATGCCTGTTCTCCCTCAGGCTGGAATTACAGCAATATTCCAGTCCAGAGCATAAACCAACCCTGGATGGAGCAGCACAGAGTCAGTACTTACCAAGTTCAAAACGCCCATCCATCAGAGCAGAATGGCTCCAGTCTGAACAAGGGCTGCACAAGATTGCTTCTGTTTTGGGATTAGGGAAAGGAATACGAGAGAAATTAAATCTATGTTAAAGTCTGATTTATGTCAAATTACATCAAATCAAAAGAAGGATACGGTTCTACCCATAGTCTCATAGAAAATAATGGCTCAATATTTCCTTAGTCTAACAGATTAGGACATAAACTGTCATTTAAAATTGTGTCTTGCAAAACTTAGCAATGTTATCTACTCTGAAGTGTTCTGCAGTAAGGCTTCTCCATTTATTTTTTAGTTTCTCTAGCTGGTACAGATGGATGTAGTGGATTTTCATTGTTTTATTGACAGCTGAGGTATTGGTGCCAGATTGAGGTGGAGAGGAGTTAAGAGAGAATTAGAGCAATAGACAAGAGCTGGATGCTTTCTAATGTCTGAACCAAGCAAAACAAGTACAGATGGATTTACAGACCAGTTAGTACTTGTGGTCTGGTATAGAAAAGGTTAACAAATCTACTGCAGGAATAAAGAAACACCCCAAATACTTTTGGTTAGCTGGAATATTAGAAACAGTATGCTTTAGTTCAGGGCAGGTAAACCTTTACAGCTAATCTTTTTGGATACCAGTATTTCCTTTCAGATGCTCACATGTGTTTAAAGATGTGCAAATCCTACAGAAAATAGTCACAGTGGGTGCCACGACTGGAAAACAAATGCAAATAAAATAAGTTCCTTTGAGCTGCATGCTAAATGCACATTTCTAAGCCTAACTTCATTCACCAGGTACATAGCTGAGACCCTCTAGTGGCATAAACATTTATTTGCCTTCAGCATATTATTAAAATTCTCTTTCACAGTCACATTATAGCAGCAAATTCACAGGTAGCTTTTTTGGACACTCTGGGGGCTGTGGCAAAGTGAATCTGGGATTAGATGCTGTGCAGGCTCATGTTAATGACTGTAAATTGATTTTTAGCTGTGAGGGGCAATTATAGATGCACTGGAAGGAGAAGGGAATTTTTGAAAGGATGTTCTAGAACTAATTACTATCAGCAAGAAGCACGCAAAGAGCAACGCAATACCCAGGACAGCCAATAGGGAGAAAAGCTTATACACAAATCTGTCCTGACCTGGGAGTAAGAGTGTTTAAAAACACTGATCTGCACTTAGCTTGTAAATGCGCATCACCCTCTTTCTCCCTCATATATTCCCTCTCTCTCTCTCTCTCTCTGACACACACACACACATCCACGCTCCTGGATTTGCAGAAGACAGACATCTAGGGCACTTCTTGGCATCCCCAGGAAAATCATATGGGATTAAAAACCCACAGCAGTAAGTACTCGTGCATTAAATATTTATTAAGTGGCATGCTGTCAAAACCTGGATTTAATAGTAAATACAGGAGGAATTTAATGGAAATTGGTTGTATTTGATTTTTCCTAGGAATTGCAGGAAGCTGCTTCTTGAGGATTACAACTTCACCTTTTGCTTTTACGGATGCTTGTTTACTATCCATGTGGTAACCTCTGGACAGCCAGTAATCCATTCATTATCCCCACTGATTGAGTGAGGGAGTAGTACAGCGGTAACTACTTCACTCAGCTGAAGGCAGACAACAAAAGGAGGAAAATGATGAATTCGGACAATTTAACCTCCCAAAGCTTCCTCTCTGCAATTCACAGCAACGCCAGCAATTTATTCTCAGGTCTCCAGTTTGTTCAGTCCTTCAAGCCGCTAATCATCCCCTGCTACTCCCTGGTGGTTTTCATCGGTGTCATTGGGAATTACCTGCTCATTTATGTTATCTGCAAGACAAAAAAAATGCACAACGTCACCAACTTTCTCGTGGGCAATCTGGCTTTCTCAGACATGCTCATGTGTGCAACCTGTGTGCCCCTGACACTCGCCTATGCCTTCGAGCCCCGGGGGTGGGTGTACGGGCGGTTCATGTGCTACTTTGTTTTCCTGATGCAGCCTGTCACGGTGTTCGTGTCTGTGTTCACCCTGACTGTCATAGCTGTGGACAGGTACTGTGCCATGGTGTACCCCTTCCGCAGGAGGCTCACCATCCCTGTCTGTGCTTACATCCTGGCTGCTATTTGGCTGCTGAGCTGCACCCTGGCTGCCCCAGCCTTAGTCCACACTTACCACGCGGAGTTCCCGGAGCTGGACTTCTCCATCTGCGAGGAGTTTTGGTTCCACATGAAAAGGGATCGCTTGGCTTACGCCTACAGCACCCTCATCATCACCTATGTGTTGCCTTTGGCTGTCATCTCCCTGTCCTACCTGAGGATCTCAGTCAAGCTGAAGAACCGTGTGGTGCCAGGCAATGTCACCCAGGGCCAGGCTGAGTGGGACCGTGCACGGAGGAGGAAGACTTTTCGCCTGCTGGTCTTAGTGGTGGCAGCCTTTGGAGTCTGTTGGCTGCCTCTGCACATCTTCAACGTGATAAAGGACATAGACATCAGCTTGATTGACAAGCAGTATTTCAACTTTATCCAGCTGCTGTGCCACTGGTTTGCAATGATGTCTGCTTGCACCAATGCCTTCCTCTATGCCTGGCTCCACGACAGCTTCAGGGGAGAGCTGAAGAAAATGTTTGCCTGGAGAAAGAAGAAAATTGGACCTGCTACAAACTGCATTATGGCCAGTGTGGTGCTGTAAACGAGGTCTGGTGGGAGTGCATTTCCTTTGTACAGTAACATTGTAAGTCTTTTCCACTTCTAATTAGTCCTCATTCCTGACATTTGTCTTCAGGGCTCAATTATGACAACACAATTCCCGTGCTTATCTTCCCCCAGCACCTCCACTTCTAATGGAGAATGACAGGCAGACGTCATGTTTAAAAAATGTCTTTTCTTCTTTGACTGGAGTTAGAGGCAAGCAGATACACAATAAGATACAGGGATCCTTCCTATCTGTTTTGGATATTACTCAGTACAGACATGGGTTTTGGGGATGGGGAGAAGCAAGGATGAGTATGAAACCTAAATACCTCAATGAGGGAGTGTTTTGGATTGGGTAGAAATTAAATTTGCATATCTACCCAGAGTCCATTCCTTAGCCCAGGATCTAAGGCAGAGGACTAACAATATTCCTGTAGTCCTCTTGGATTAGGGCCAAGCTGCAAATAGCATAAAGGTCTCTGAAATGCTGTCCCTCAGCAGCTACCCCAGCTGTGGGCAGGAAACCAGGTTGGCAGGAGCTGCTCCCAGCCTCCCTGTGCCAGCTGAGCTGTGCTGGCAGCAGTGGGATGCAGTGGTGTCCCCTCTCCCAGGGGTGTGGGTGACATGCAGGGTGATGGCAGCAGCTCACTTGCAACGCCTCCGGGTGCCTCTGTTCAAGATGACTGGGTCACCTGTGTGCCTGTGGCCCTTGCTGGGGGGTGCTGTGTCTACCCTGTATGGTTTCTCCCCTCACCCCCATCTGCTCCCTGCCCCAGGACCAGGGGGTGGAGTCACAGCCCTTGTGACTGTACAGGAATTTGGATTTTCTGCTTTTGGAACCCTGCATCTTCCTGCAATCCCAAACCCCCTGTGTCTCGTGGGCCTGCAGCAGAGCATGTACAAGGTGAGATATAGTATTGCAAGAGGGTAAATAAAAGCAGAGTGATGTTATTTCTGTGATGGGAAATGTGATGCAGAGTGGGCAACAGCCTATTTGGTAGATTTGCAAGTGTTACCATCAAGGATGGACTGACTGGAAACACAACTTGTAGTGGAAAATCATTCAAATAGGGGACATTAAGACACACCACCACTTTACTGACATTGAATTGTGTTCCTACCATTGTCTAATGCAACTCTGCTGCAAGTCAGCTGCCTTTGTCATCACAGCATTGTCAGTACTGAGATGAATTCCACTCATTCCTCCAGGAGCTGATTTTGACATGTGGCAATGATGCCATCAGCTTTGATCTCCAGAGAGAGCCAGAGGCTTTGATACTGCCTTGAGGAGCCCTTCTGGAGGTGTCTGTTAAGAGACAGTGGGCTGAAGGGGCCATACGAGCCCTGCGTGACCAGTCAAAGCCAGAGCTCCCAAAGGGAGTGGAGTGGCAGGAGCTCCCCTTTGAAGGAGTCTTTTGGGAAGAAACAATTTCCTTTGACATTCACATTTCGATAAGATGAGAGAGTTAGAAGCCATAATCAAACTAATGGTAGCCATAATCAACCTGATGGTTCCTAGTTCCTTCCTTCCTGAGCTGAAAGTATCTGAGATCACAGGTAAGTGTACGGGACAAAGATCTGGAAGCACACACTGATCCTGAAGAGGTTTCTTTCAGGTTGCTCAGCCAAAAGCTGTGATGGCATAAGGAGCTGCCTGATGCTGAGGTGAGACCAGCCAGAGAAGCAGAGCAACCCAGGGGCGGTTTTGGCCATCTGGCTGACCACAACTGCACATGGCCAGGTACATAAGCACTGTGAGGCAATGCTAGTGGACATGAGGGGAGAGGGAAGACAGAGAAGAGGTTTCTTTAGTTTGCACATGTACTCCTGCTGTGAAACTGTGAATATAGTTCTGCTCATCACCTTTCAATAGGCTTAATCTGGTTAAAAAACTCCCACAGATCCATATGCACACACTGAGAAAAGTGTTGGAAAAACATTCGAAATCCCATTTCATGAAGTCCCTAAAATTTCAAGTTGTTTTGTTGCTAGTAATGAGGATATTAGAATCTGTAGTGAAAGGACAGAATAAATTAGAATCTGTAGTGATAGGACAAGGAGTAATGGGCACAAATTGAGAGGGGGGAAATTTAGGTCAGATATCAGGAAGAATTTCTTTACTGTGAGGGTAGTGAAACACTAGAACAGGTTGCCCAAGGATTGTAGATGCCTCAGCCTGGCAGTGTTCAAAGCCAGTTGGATAAGGTCTTGAGCACCCTGCTCTAGTGGGAGGCAGGAGGGTTGGGACTAGATGATCTTTAAGGTCCATTCCAACCCTTGAACATTCTATGATTTTGTGATTCTGTGATTATGAAGGAGGTCCTTTTAACTGGTCATTACTTGCATTCGCTCTGAGATTAAGTGTATCTGCCTTCCTTACCTTGATTTAAAGATTTGAGTGACCTGTTAAAGAACGTTTTGCTTTGCTGAATTTCAGGAAATTGTTTTTCCTTCAAGCTCAATATAGCAAGCTACTGGAATAATTGGTGATTTTGAAAAGACAACCCCCCACCCACTTCCAAACAAACCAATCAAATTTTACAAGCTTTTCAGATTTTTTCAGGACTCTTTTGAAGACCACAGAGAATAGGACACCAAGAGAGCACTGAAACAACACTGTAAAAAGCAACTTCAAATAACAAAAACATCCTGACTTTCAGAGGTTTTTCTTTTCCTGAATTATGTTAATCTGTCAGTTTGTAAAGGTTAATTAATATTGAGGTGGCCCATAATGTGCACAACCTCTTGCACTAAATACAGGCAGTGCTGTAATCCAGAGTGATCCAAAGCTCAGTGCAGTAACTGGGCTGACTTTCTCAGCCACAGCAGGCCTGGGATCATTTTCTTCTTACACATCATATTTTTACCCTCATTTACCAGAGCTGCAGTTTGAGTTATTAATGTTCCTTTGAATGTTAATGGCTGAAGATGGTGGCTGCAGAGAGCTGCCTGAAGCAAACAAGGGATTTGTCTCTCTGTTTTGTTTCCCTGAGACAGAAATGAAGGGCTGTTCAGTGCACACACTGTTCCCACAGTGACAGAGGCTTTGGGAATATCTCTTTTGCAGCAGCCTCTGGAGCTGCTGTTAGAGCAGTGCCAAGGTCTGTCATCTCACAGAGGTCCTCAGGAGTGCCCAGCACAGCAGGCACCCTCATCTAAGTGCTGGTTTAACCTGGACATGCCTTGAACCTGTCAGGGTGTGCTTTGGCAGCAGAAAGCTCAGAGCCTGCCCCTCGCTTCAAGCACTGCTCATGAGTAGGATTTGCAGGTGCCCCCTGGAATGATCTGCATTCTCCAGCACAGACTCCTGAAGCTCCTTCTCTCTCCTCTGCAGCCCCCTTGGTCCCCCTCAATGGTCCTGCACTGCCATTTTTCCACGTTTTCCCTGCGTGGTGCACAGAGGAATTCCAGCCATGGGCTGGAGGACTGGGGGTTCTGCAGGCTGGCAGGGACCGAGGCACAGCCACGTTGGCTCAGTGCTGCCTCTGAATAGAGCCCCAAGAATCTCTGCTCAATTTAATTACTGTTTTCTCTGATATACAGAGTAATAAACAATAATAAGATTTAGAGGCACGTTGATGCACTTCTTTAATCCAGTTATGCAAATAATTCTATTACAAGCTGTCATGAGAAACTTGTTTGCCAGTCTCCACCCCTCTCCAGGGAGCTGCTGTGGTTCTCTGAGGGGTCAGGGCTCACCACTAAGGTATTTTTGGTGGTATACTTTTTAATTACAATTTAAGAAATCATTGCATGTTTTGATTTTATAGGGGAGCCTGGTTCAAAACTTGATGAATCTATTAACTTTCCCTGGAAGAGTTTTTGTTGTTCCTTGCTTACATTGCAGCCCAGGACTCGCACAGAGCAGAGCAGTTGCTCTGCAGGGATGAGCAGGGTTTGGCTCTGAGCTGAGGTCTGGCAGAATGGAATATCCTTCTCCTCTGCTGGGATTTCTTTCCAGTTATTTCCATGTACAGAGAGACTGTCAGCAGGTGCAGACCCAGGTGTTCTGTTTCTTACAGCAGTAAATAAGTGTTATTTGTGAGGGCTCCTTGGACTGTTCCTAAAGGACAGCCTCCAGTGAACACTCCTGGGTGCATTATGGAGTTAGCACACATGCTTGGGGGTGGTGATTTTGGGTAGGTATCAAAGGCATGAGCCAGCAAGTGGGTTATCAGAGCACAGACAGTCTTGGGCTTTGGAACAGGAGGGGGCACTGAGGATCACACCTTCTCATTGCAAAAATCCTCTGGAAGATTTCACTGGGGCCAAACCTCTACAGCTCTGAGCATCTCTGAAATGTGGGCAGTGCTCCAGATGTGGAAGGAAAAGCAGGGGAGAGTGAGGTGTCTTCACTTACAGTGAAGAGCACAGATTTAGGCAGCAGGGATCCAGCTTCACAATTTGAAGCTATTCTGCATAGCTGTTGGAAGGACTCACAGAGCACCATTCCAGCAAATATGCTGTATTTCCAGTGTTTATAGATGCACTAATGCTTTGTCAAACACAGGCTATGCCCTGTGGTAAAACATGGGGCTTGTATCAAAAGGCAGTGTACTTAAGAAACATATATAAAAGTCAGTCAGCACTTGATCAGGAACTGAAAAACAGACTAGGTAGTGACCAAAGGTCACTAAAGCTGAAATCAGGTAGATAAAGAAAAATACTTAATTAAACCTAAATAAGAGTCAGGTAGAGTTGTCTCTCCCCCACTTTGAGAATATCTGCTCAGAGCAGTCACAAAAGACTAACTTGCTTGTGCAATGCATTGCTTTAAATAAATTTTTCTCATACTTGGATGAAGGAAATTCAAGGCTGTATTTGTATCATGTTTGGGGAATTGCACTTTATCTGGGGTGGGCAAAAGCAGGTCCTGCCATAAGGCCACTGCTCAGATGAGCATGGTGAGTGTTTCCCAGCTGATGGACGGACTGGGAAAAGCTGATACTTCTCATACCAGCTGAACAACAGATGCTCTGCACAGTTCTAATGGAGCAAATCTTGCTGGCTGAGTTGTCGATGGTGAGTTAAAATTAGATGTCTGAGATGATGCAGGGTACAGATAAAAGCTGAAAATGGTACACCTGCAGCTGGGGAAAAAAATGCAAAATTGGACAGAATTGGACAATACATCAATCAATCCAGATGAGATTGATTGATGGGGCAGGCCACCAGATGAGAAGAAGGTAGGGAGAAAAACAATGTGCTGGTGGTAAAGCCACAGCTGCCTTTGCCATTTCTGCACAAAGAAATACAAACTTTTACCTTCAGCCCTCCACTCTCGCTGCCTACTATCCTTTTCTCAGACAAAAATAGTGACGTTTCTCCTCCTTACCCTGAAGAAAAGGTTGCCCAAGGGTCAAAGCAAACATTTCTGACTGATGGAAAGCACACGGAAAGCAGAGCTTTCTAAAAGGAGCTCTTCTCTCTTCTTTCTGCAAGCAGAAATACACAGCAGCTCTGCACTGAAACATTTGCTGTGTGGATCTGTAGCTGGCCTGGCCTGCCCCTTGGAGCTCTGGGTTTTGTGTACACAGCAAGTAAATACTTCTCCCCATGCTCAGTGACCTCACTGTGGGTCACAAGCATCACTGACTCTGTTCCTTTGTACCTGATTTCCCTCCAGATCAAGATGCTTTACTGGAAGTCCCAGATAGGAGCTGCAGACGCATCAGAGGTATGCAGCCAACATTAATAGGACCTTTCCTTCAGAGATCACTGTCATAATCCCTGTCTCAGCAGGTTTGAAGTACATTCTTGCTGTGTACTGACATAACAGGCTGATTTCAATCAAACTTTGTCTGGTGTTTCTCTGCTCCCTGCCCACCTAACCCTCCCCCAGACTTTTGAAATCATTGATCAGCTACTCAGTAGAACAAGAAGCCTTGAGGGTGTTGCCATCTGAAATTGGGAACACTGGCATTTTCTTGGTACTGCCCAGGGAAGAAAAAGACATTGCAGTGCTCTCTCTCTTAAGGACTCACACAGGATTAGACGGGACTGGATATTAGGAAAAATATATTCTCCAAAAGGGTGGTCAGGAATTGGAACAGGCTGCACAGGGAGTCATTGCCCCTGGAGGATTTAAAAGATGTGTGGATGTGGTACTTGGGGACATGGTTTAGTGATGTGCTTGGCAGTGCTGGGGAAATGGCTGGGCTAGATGACCTTGGGGGTCTTTTCCAACTTAATGACTCAGAACCAGTCAGAAGATGGCCAGGCTGCCTCCCTGCAGGGCAGAGAGTGAGAGGTTAAGGGCATGGAGCTAAAATATATCTCACTGGGAGTTACGTCCCTTTGGGATCTATAAATTTACTCTCCTGGACAAGAAGCAGATAAGATTGACTCTCTTGTCTGTTGTTGCTTACTTTCCCTTTCTGCAGCCTGCTTTGTCAAACTAAGTTAATGAAGCTGGTAATTTATATAAACGAGAAAACACACACTCAAGAGCTCCCTGCTTTATGTCTCTGACCCATTGGAAATCAATTTTGGATCACTGCTATCTATTTGCATCTGACTGGGTTCTCCATCCTTAAATTATCACTTTGTAATTTCCCTGTGCTTTTTCTATTTTTTTTTTTTTCAATCTCTTCAGGGAACATCTAAAAGGGGATTTTTAATCCCCACATCTACATTTTCTGCAATTCCTACATTTCCACGAGGCACTGGAGACCTTTCAGCAGCAGCAAGTAGGACTGCAGAGAGAAGCTCGTGGTGATGAGATCTGCCTCTCCTGCTGAGCACAGTCCTTGGCTTCCAGACAACATGCTGGAAAGGTGTTCCTGACTCACAGCAGCAGGAGGGTTTTGTGAGAGCCTGGGGATGTTTGTGGTGCTGAGGGTCACTCTTGCCCAGCTCAGGTTCTCCCCAGCAGCATCACCAAGATGTGCTCAGCTGGGGCTCTGGTGAGGCCGGGCAGCACGAGGGGCTGGCTCTTTTCCTGCAGTTCCTCAGCCACAGGGAGCTGTGTTTATTTACCCAGCACAGCCACAAGGCAGGGCAATGTTCTGCTGAGAACGGGACAGCCAAAGGACCCCAGAGCCGCGATGGAATGTGGCAGGAATGTGGCAGGAATGTGGCAGGCTGCCATCAGTCACAGCTCCAGTCTGTGTGACCAGCTGTGCTTGGGAGTGGGAAGGTGAAGCTACAGCCTGTGTTGTGAACCAAGCCCATCTTGGGCTCGTGGAGAAAGAAAGAAATTATTACTTTTTGGACTTGAAGCAAACAATGCCCACCCAAAGGCTAAGTCTGTGATCACCCAGAGGTGGTCCTGTGAGAATGCAGGAGTCACTCAAGCCTTCCTGTGCTCCCTCACTTGTGGTGTGTCACTTCAGTGGATTTTTGATTGGGTTTTTCCTCCCTCCCCTCAGCCCTACAGTGCAACAGGGGCAGGCCAAGCATGTGCATGAACCACTGGTGTGAGGTCCACATAAGCAGAGCTGTCAGTGCACAGTCTAGAGGCAGGTGAGTTTGAGGGCACATGCACCTGTGAAAGGGTTTTTTATAAAAATAATTGAAAGATTGGGGATGGAATTCCAGGACAAGTGTTCAACCAACCCACTCTTCAGCAATTGGAGGCAGCTCTGCAGGAAGTAAGATGAAAATAGTTCAAATATTATGTGCAAGAGTTAGCTATGAGCTGTATCACCAATATATACTATATACAAGGTATTTAAAATCATTAACAAGACAAAATCTTTAATGCTAAGCTTTGGAATTATTTTCCCTCAATTATTGGATCATTTTAAATTCAACATCTGTTGTTAATATGCATAAATTAAAAAAATAAAAATAGATTTGAAACCATCTAAAGCACTAGACAACATATGGCAGACCTGTTTAATCTTAACAAGTCAATAATATTATCATTATGAATCACTTCTCTGTTAAAATGTGTATTTATGTCTGTTGTATAAATGATGTTTATAAAAGCCTTTTGTGCCACCCATGCAATTGTCACTTGTCACAGCTAATTCTAGATTGTTTTGAAAAAACAATTTTCCTCTTGGAAAATTACCACAGACTGAGGACAGACAGAAATGCAAATCATCACCAGTCGAAGTTCTGACAACATCACACACAAAGTGCAGGGAAGATTTCAAAGACCTGTGTTTTGCTGTAGTTAAAAATTATAGGTTTCTTTATTTTTAAGGCATTGTGGAAAGCACTGTTCCGAACACTTTTCACCCTCCAAAAGTTGTATACAGGGTCTGACAAGATCTACATTCTTTCCTGGTTCCTAACATTCTTCCTTCGTTGCTAAATGAAGAAACAGGCTTTCCCGTGGAAGGGTTTACAATGGCACTGCTCACCTGGAAAAGCTGCTGCCCAGGGACAGGGTGAGGACACAGGAGAAGTGGGGATTAAAAGCCAGACTTCTCAGACCCTGAAATCATTAAATTATTGGTTAAGGGCAACAGAACTTTGAAAAGTTGTCTTTCAATCCTTGACCGAGAAGGTTTATCTCCTTCCCTCACACATGTTAAGGAAACACGTCAAAGGAATGAATTCACATAACAATTCAATAATTCTTAAAATGCCTTGGTTCCTGGGGATTAGGTCACTTCTAAGAGGGGTAGAAGATGTTTCAATGTTTGCCCACCACTGAAGGAGGTATGTCCAAGTGGAATATTTGGTAGCCTTCTAAACCATTATGGGTTTGCTGTGTGACCAGAAAAGGACAAAGAAATTGAGGGCAAAAAGCAAATGCACAGGATTTTTAGTGCTAAAATGAATTAGCTGCACAAGCTGAATCTGCAATGTGGCGTTCAACAAACATCCTAATTTGCAGTGCTGAAAACAGAGATAATTAGGCAAGCACTTTCACTTCCAGATCCAACATGAGGTGTTTGGAAACAGGGGTGGAAGGTGGGCTGGGAGAAGGCCAGACTGGCACAAGAATAGTGTTAGACTTTCTGTCAGCAGTGAGTAAAACTAAATGAAGTGTCAGCACAGCTTTCGGAATCTGAAGCTGTTTACATTCAAATATTGAGACTTGAGGAGATGGATAAAGATAATGTAGAGTTACAGTGAGTTTCACAATTCATCTATTTAAAAATAGCTGCAAAAGTAGCAAGCCCTAGAGATTATTCTGAATTGTAGATATTTGAAACATGGATCTGCAGTTTGATTTCACCTTTTATTACAGGAAGTCCAAGCTCTTTGAGACAGAGTTCAGAGCAGAGACAAGTGTGTCCCTACTGTGTCTTCTTAAATGGAGACCAGTGATTTAACCCAGCCACTGTGATATTCTGCTGTAGATAATAGGTCCAAAATGAGTTTTGAGGTTTCTCTCTCCACAAGGTTTGAATTTGACATTCACAGCATAACCAGAGGGTAAAAAACAGTGAATCATGTAGGAACTCTTGCTAATGTCCCATTTACAGTAACTAAACAAGTGTAATCCCAAAAGAAATGAAAGAGAGAGCTTTGAAGTGCTCTGTTTAACTTCTGTTAGCTAGAGGTATTTTCTATGAAATTCAAAATATGTTTTCAGGGAGAGGAACACCCTTTTAGGAAATATTCTAACCTTGTGAGCTGGATACTGCCACTTTTAAGCACCAGGACATGTTTTAGTAACTGCAGAAACACAGCAAGAAAGATCTTACAACAAGATATGGCAGAGTTTAGCTGTCCAGAAGCATGCTAATTTCTCTTATTAATGGCTGAGAATCCAGCAGGCACCTCTTACCCACTGAATCTCAACCCTGCACAGGTACTTCCCAACAGGCACTAATGAAACATTGGAGAATCCACTGCACAGAAATGGATTCATTTACTTTGGAATAAGCAGCAGTGTGGGTAAGCTGCCACTGTATCTGGAAAAGAGAGAGAAGCCTGAGAGGAACCTGTGAGGTCTCTGACTCAGAGCGTTAAAGAACTGTGTTAGGCCTGGTTCCAAATATCTCCTTCTTCTGCAGTGTATTTGGACACACTGAGCAGGCAAGGAGCAAACACAGGTTACTCCTCAATGGCACCACCAGCTACAGTCACACTTTGGGCTGAGAACCTTCATCCCACCTCCATCCACAACAGCAGTAGTCTTGATTTCAAATCAGGATAACAGGAATTTTACAAGGGGTCCCTCCTTTTCCTTTCTCCTTCTCAACACCAGTAGAAGAAAAATAGAATAAGGTGAACTGCCAACCTGTTAGTTCCCTGTTATACAATATTCCCAAGAACAGTTTCTAACAAGTGGAAGAACCCAAGGTCTGAGAGATCTCCTCCTAAAGCTCTGGCAGACTGGAGTCCATGGAGCAAAACCCACAAATATATATAATTATCAACCTAATAAAAAGCTAAAACAAAACTCTGAATCAGAGCTAGTAGGTATATCAAGTACCATCCCTTCTCAAGAAATTAATATCAAGTTTCTCTTCAACATTCAGCATGGATGCATTTGATAAAATTAAACGAGTCTCCCAAGGTTGTGTTATTAGGAGATACTATTACATGAAGTCAGCTAGAGCCCACATAGGCAAGACAGTGATTAGAATAACTATCTGATACTAATAAAGCAGCCTATTAAAAAAGAATTAAAAGGCCTTTCCTAATCTGTTAGGAAAATAAATACTGAAAAGAATTAATGAAAATGAATTAAAACTATTCGGGGAGAGGCATAAAGGATTGATATTCCACCTAATCTTAGACATCCCCATTCTCCCAGAGTACTGAAAAGCTGTCCCCAGGCCATTATATTCTTTCTAAGAAACTTTCAGGTTTCATTCTCACGGATTTATTAACTCCTTTTTGTTCCAAATGGGTCTCTTGCTCCTACTGATATTACCTCTTCTGTTTCCTCTTGCACTCACCTCTCAAAAGAGGCACTGTGAGCCCCACCTCTGCTTCAGACTGTGTCACCTGTCTTCTGTTTGCAGACCTCCTCCACTCGTGTAAAATGCTGCAGGATAACAGGCTGCTGATGCTCCCCAGCTGGCACAGCCTCCCATCCCTGTGCCTGGGATCTGTCTGAGCAAGAAGACAAATCAATACTAATTAAAGGTCCCCTGGAAAGTAAATGATTGCTTGCAGTGTGCAGTGTGGCAAGGAGCACTGTTGCCTGTTTGTGCCTCTGGTTTATCAGCCCACATGAACAAGGGTTTGTACCTGGAACCAGGAATCTATAGCTGATAAAGGTCACAGCTCCTGTTGGGATAAAAGGAGCCTGCAGACCTGGGAGAAGGGTGGGTTTTTCAGTTCCACACGTGCAGCAGATAAGAATGACCATTTCAGCTGTCTGGCTGCTGATTTCCAGCAGCTCCCAAGGATTGGAACATACACAGAAATATCCAAGAGTATTATGTGGGGTACCTGGAGTGACCTCCCATTTCCTGCAGGAAGGATGCTTTCTGGTATCTGGCCTTCCTCCCTAGCAGACAAGAGCTAGAACAAGACAAATAGAATCAGAGAAAATTACATTAAAAATCAGAAATGTTGCTTAGAGCAGGTTGCCTCTCACAAGCTATGGTAGAAAATTCTGTTTCCTTGTGCCTCTGCTAAAAGGTTTGTGAAAGTGCTCCATCAATATTGCACTGGCTTCACGTGCAGCTCAGAGGGAAGGTTCAATACTGACCAGCTGTAAAAAGAGGATGTTTAAAATGTGTCAGGCCTCTTAATTACAGATGATCATTTAGTGATTTCAGCTTTTAGTTTGAAATGAGTCAGTGCCATTAGTGGAGGCAGAACCTTCCTTTATCACAGTCCCTTCCAGCAAGCTTTGCTCTCACAGAACATGAACCATTTTGTTTAATTGCTCTGTGAGAGTCCAGGGCATCAGGAAATGGAACATCTCACACTGGCTCAAACGTCTGTCTGAGTGTTTGCTGCAGGAATGTCACTCCATCACAAGCACACAGCAGCAGTTTGGGTCAGAAAACAGCACCCTGGCTTGCAGGATGATTGCTACATGTCCATTAGTCCAGCAGGTTCACTCAGCCTGTTTGGAATGGGGCACTGGCAGAGCTGGATGCAGAACTGACTTTTCCCCCTTTCAATGAGAAGGTCCTTTGAGAAGGTCTCCAAGCTCACTCTGGGATTTTAGGTGATGTTTATAGTTTTCTCTCTATCCAAAGCCCATTCATAAAAAGAGACAAGTTTCTTCTGAGAGGATTTGCCGTTGACAAATCTGGTTTGACTCTTAATCATTGCCTTGTTTTCTTTCATTGCTCCCCAAGATTTTGTGCTTTCCAAGATTTTTCTGGCATTTTGAAGGTAAGCTGACTGATAGACAAATCCCCCATTAGTCCTTTGCTTCCTTTCTTAGAAAATGAACATATTTGCTCCTTTCCAGTCTCCTGAAAGAACTTGGGACTTCTTGGCTTTTTGTGCTGACGATTCCCCTGTTTTCATTTGCTAATGAGTCAATAATTTCTTGGTCTCTTTGCCTTTATTTCTCAGTGCATATTTAGAACTTTCTTGCTACTCCTGATATCACTTGTACAATTCTGTTCTGTACCTTCCCTTTTTACAATTTTGTCTCCTCATCCTCATGCTGTTCTTCGATACTTGTCTCAGGAGCCTCCTTTAGTTGTTACTTTCTGTAGGCATCTTCTCTGTGCTTAAGGTGATTGACGAACTCATGACTTTTCCCCATGTTTTTTTATTCCTTTCAGAGGGAATTTTTAGAAAGAAACTCCCATTTGAGCAATACTGAAAAGAAAAGTAAAGAAAGACACCTTCCAAAAATATGAACTGGGAGGATTTTTAGTGTTGCTTTTGTGTGTGACCTGATCCTGGCAGTAAATGCTTCCTAGACTGATAATTTACTTTTTCAAGCAAGATGTTTTAAAACTTTCTTTTGAAGAAAGAAGAACCAAAACACAAAAAAAACCCAACCCAAAATACAAGCAAGAGGCCAGTTTAATTTTATGGGATTGTAAACAAGCTCTAGCAAGTCCATCTGCATGCAGCAACTTTCAGGACCATAATATTAATCATGAAAATATACTTAAAATTCAAGTTAAAATAACATTGACCAATAACTCTACCTGCATTTCCTCTGGAGGGTTTTTCTGGATTATCTCATATTTAACTGAGGGCAGTTAAAAAGGGGGTCACAGAATCATTAACAAATACGGACTTAAAATGTGATGCTGGGACAATTTTGTTTAGTTTGCTTAACTGTGAGAATCCTTTATGTTTTTCAGGCAGTTGCGATGGACTTGATATGCAGACGTTTTACTCATTTGAGGAATTAAAAGTGATTAAAACTGTCTTGAAGTCCAGTGTTTTGCAATTACACTCTCAGAAGACATTTCTCCTCCTAGTTTCCAGGGAACAAGTGGGTTTCCTTACATATATCTCGATTATTAAGTGGGGAGGCACAGATTTTGGCACTTCGGGTATCACAGATATGGGATCTCTCTTAAAATATGGCAAAGTGCAGCTGTTTGCTGTGATGTACGATAGTCCTGGATTCTGCCCTGGCTGTGAACTGCGGGCTCTCGGAGCAGACCCGTGTTTGCGGAGCGATGGATGCTCTTCCAC